AAAATATTTTTTATAGAAATTTTTTTTTCACACTTAGGGAAGGTCCACTTATTAAAGAAGGTCCACTTACTACACCATCATTACCACATTATCTTGATCTCATTATTTAACAGCTTCTATTGTAGTTCAAAATCTAGCATTTATGTAAAGCTGCTTCTCTGTAAATGTCGAAAGACATTGGGATCAAAATCAGATCAAAAAACTAAAGGTGAAGTATTCTCAAGTTCCTGAGAAAAAAAGTGTTAGGTAGGAAGAGCTCAGTGTGTCCTGAACCAGTGTTCAGGAGATACATCAGTCTTGCATATGAGTAGCTTTATTTCAGAATGTAAAGGGGTTGTATGCATTTGCTCATTAACATCTGTTGCCAATCTTGTGTTACGCTGGACATTCCCAGAGCATATGCAAAAGATCTCCGTTCAGTATCTATCATCGCCAGCACTTAGGATACTCATTAAACTGGGAAATATCTTCTTTTTAGAGTAACATTTCTTCTGCCTAAAATGCCATCATATATTTATCTGCAGTAACATTTATAACACTGTCTTTTATATCGTCATTGTTTTCTCTCTACTCATTTATTTTCCAGTCAACCCCAAAGTATGTTCCTAAGAGTCCTTTATTTTTTTATTGTAGAATCTAGCAAGCAGCTGGTAAAGCCATGAAAGCTGCTTTTTATTATTTATTGTCTTATGTGGTTGAAAGGCTGGACCCCCTCCTCAAGTCCGTACTGTGAAATGTATAACTGCTATGGTCTACAGAGAGAAAGGGCCAGCTCCAAGATAAGGATTAGGTAGCCCATCCTTGTTGACACATTCCCCTCCCCAGCAGCTGCCTCAGCCTGGAAACATCCAACGCACAAGGGACCTGCTTTTTATGCAAAATTTTCCCAGCATGTGCAGAAAACTGCTGTGCTCTGCACAAGTGGCCTCCCCCTACCAACGTAGATACCCTGTGGTCTGGAGAGAAGCAGGACAAGGAGACCCCAGGCCAGCAAGGCTTGGCTTTTGTGCCTAGTGTGGGGCAAGGGACTCTCCAGAGGGGTTTAGCACCCCCGGCTCCTATTCTCCTCTTTTCTTGGGATGTTGACTTTAGATAGCCACTGGGTTAGTAATCAGATGCAAATAGAGGAACAGAGAGGATGTGAGTAAAATAATTTGATTTAACTCAGGTGCTTTGGCTCCAAATCTTAGTGCCCAAAGCACAGCAAAACTGGAAAATTCTTGTGGAATTAAATACCTTTTCTCCTCACTGCTGCATGAAGAGTGTATCCGCACTGGAGCTTGGCAGAACCGACACGTACAACATTTTCCAGCTTTATTATCACAAGATAAGCCTGTGTTTCCCTCCTTTGGGTGATGACAGACAATACCGCACAGGTGGGCCATGGCCATGGTAGGACGGTGAGGCGTCCCTGTAATGTGGGACACACCTCGAGTGAGGGCCGGTGGTGCCCCACCTCGGCAGGGAGCAGCTGGTGCCTCTCACACACCATCAACATAATCACTTAATAAGTTCAGGCATTGACACCAGTCCAGCCCTGCCGTGGCACGGGGATTATGCCTGTATCACTGTAAGCCTAACCTGCAGCTGAGGGAGCACAGGTGTAACAGAGCACCTAATCTGGCCTGCAGCACTGCTATTGCTGGTGATGTGGAAGATGGCTAGAAGTCATGCTTGAATTGCGGAGGCTGGAATTGAGTTAGTAACTAGGAAATTCCTCATTTTGACCTGGAAACTGAGCACGTGTGGGACACAAATGTCAAATCAGTCTTTGTCGCAGACTACAACCACATTTGTCAAGCTTTTCTTGACTTCCAGTCCATCTGATATAAGTCTTCTGTGACCCATCATAGCCCTCTCATTTGGATAATCCTTGAAAAAAAACTTTCCCTAGATTTATAAAGAAACCCATCAAACTGCTATGATCAGCGAGTGCTCAGAGAGAAGGGACTCCTTCAGGTCTGCTAATTGAAGATAAATAGTCTGAATGTCTCTGAATCGTAAACTGACAGAATTCAATGTAATTGACATATAATCTCTGAGGAAGAGAAAGTAGTTCAGTTTGACTATAGCAACTGTTGTTTAGCCTTTTGTGTCAGTAAAGTCCTTAAAAGAAAACTGATCGTATCAGAAGAGGAAGAAGGCCGCACATATCTGTATTGTCCACTTTAGACTTAGTGGCATTTTGCTTTGTCCTGGATGTCATCTCCCTTTTTATAAGAACAGGTTTCTTCCTCACCTTTTTCCCCCCGTTTAGGAAATGTAGTGAAAGACTTAACCAGAACAAAGAATTCTCCACAAAACAAAGTCCTATATCAGCTAATACACAGGGGAACCTTTTTTTTTTTCTCCCTTTAAAAGTCGTTTGATTCTGCCACCGCAGCTTCATGAATCAATCAGCCTAAGCATCATCCTTTTACAAATTATCCACACCAGAGAAAGACATTAGTGCTTCAAATTTAGGAGAAAATTGATCTATTATTTCCCCTGGAATTTGATCTTGATGAATGAAAGGAGAGTATTAGGACTCCTTGCAGAAATCCCTCTAACCTGTGATGTTGTACAAGGCAAAGAAATGAGCTGCAGGACGGCAAAGATGGCATTATATCCTTTTAGGATTTTTTGAAGAAAAGGTCATACTGGTGCAAACACTACAATTTAATTAGCTGTCTCAATGAAAAAAGTTTAAATTATGGATACTTCTTAATTTCCAAGTACTTGAAACTAAACATTCTGCTAACATAGGAAGTTTCAAATTAACGTATTATGTAACTTAGCTCCAAGAGTTTAAAGGGTCTGGATGAGGTGTGTTTTGGATTATTGTTTTTTTTCTTTGTTTTTTGAGAAACTGATGAAAACACACACACACACGCGCACACATGCACACACACCCACACACACAACATGTTAATATATTAAAAGGAAAAATGAACCAAAGTATGGCAAGCCTGTCATCCTAGAAGGATTCCATGAGAAATATGGTTAATATGAATTTATAGATGAGTTAAAATATTGAGCTAGTTTGCTTTTCACAAGAATTTGTGAAAAATAGACAGACTCAATATATTTTTGATGAGCTTATAAATATGGTAAAAGAAACAAAAATGTTGTTGCAAAAGGCATTTGACTAATTTTACATCATATTTTGAGCAAGAAATAACCATCAAATGCAGCTCATAGTGTCACATCTGTCCAAAACGTAGTTGCTTTTAGTGGAGTCCTGAAGAAACCTTTTCTATTAGAAGTCACCTTCCAAAGACTAAAGGATACAAAAGGGGACATTCTGATTGTCCTGCATATGTCCAAGGCAGGATCCTAATTTTTGTATAATTTCTGTCAAAAATGGAATTGTTTCTGAGTTCATAAATTTGCTGTTGATTCAGGATTACATAGGCATTCTTCTGCAAGAGTCTTTTAGTAGGTCTATTTTGCAGTTATGCAAACACTTGCTTATGTTTCCCTGTTCTCACAGCCTTTTATCCTTTGAAATGTGAATAATTTGTATTTGAGAGCTAATTTTTATGTAAAGTAGAGAACTCTTTTAGCTAAGTGTAAGGCACACAAGCCCCCTCCCTTCCTATGACACAGACATGGAGATAAAGGGAATAATTGAGTTCCTGGACCCATGAAGGGACTTGGGAGATGGGACTGAGCAGTAGTTTGAAAATGTCCCCATAGGCATCTCATCTTGGAAAAAAGTTACAGACGTGTAAAAGTTAAGTGATCTTTCTTTCAAATTTTTGTCTTTATTTTCACTCTAACCCATCCTTTCACCCCTACTTCAATTAATGGATTTATCTTTGCAGGAAACCATAAACCCTGGGCTCTCAAGTTCTGTAAGTGTAGTCTCCTCACATTCATTAAAGATTGACATGAAAATCAGAAGGTATTCCTGATTCATGTACTGGCCAGATCATCCATCAAAGGAGAAAGATCAGTACCCTTTATCCTAGCTGACATGGAATGATGCTTATATGCATAAACTATCTTTAGCCAGTTCCTACGCAGAATCTGTATTTAGCCTTGCATTCCAAACCACATGCATGCTTTCTTCGTGTGACCTAGCACTGCTAGGCAGAGTTATGCCCTAACTTTGTAAATCCCTCAGGGGTAAGACGTTATCATGCAGGAGATAAGCCTGCTAACTAGACGTCTCCTGTAGCACTTATAAATGCCAGGTGGAAAGGATTCAGCTGTGACTTAAGATTCCAGATATGTAGAAAGACTCAAGAGATATTTATTATTCTTGATACTGTGCCTAGAGATATGTCCCAATGACCCAATCACCTACACATATTTTTATATCACTCTTCCTCAAGAAGGTGACAGCTAGGCCCAAAGCCTTTCATAAAAACCCGTGGAGCTACCAGAGTCCAAAAAAAACAAGAACTCACTAATCACGATGGTTCTGGTTGATTGTGGGTTGTAAGTACTTCCAAAGTACAGATCTGACTGAGTCATGGATGTAAGCACCTTTCGAGTCAGGAGATATGAAACAGTCTTCCCACTGAAGCAAAAAGTCTGTGGGTGCTCACAGCACTTGAGTTTTGGCTCACAGAAGATCTCTCTCTAGATATTAGAATATGCTATGTTGATCCAGCCACTGGCAGCTACAAGACTGATCCTGATAACAGAAGGAAGAGTGAGCAAACAATATTGTTGAGGTAAATACTGACAGAGAAGCAGAAGATATGACTGGAATAAGGGTTTGTGCCAAACAGTGAATATCCCTCCGGAGTCCCACCTTCTACACAGTGGTCTGAATTCTAAAAGGCCTTTCTTTTCAAAAGGGCCATCTTCTGCCCTCCCAGGAAGAAATAAAGCCTAGGACTAAGAAAATAGTCTAATTAGTCTCTAATATCTAAATAGTCTAGACTCTAAGAGTCTAGTCTAATAAATAGACTAATGATAACAAGCGCTTTAGGCCACTGTTGGTGATTGACCAATGTGTTGCTTGACCAATCTGATAGCCTTCTATGACGGAATGACTGGCTGGGAAGATGAGGGGAGAGCAGTGGATGTTGTCTACCTGGACTTCCGCAAGGCTTTTGACACTGTCTCCCATCACATCCTCCTAGGTAAGCTCAGGAAGTGTGGGCTAGATGAGTGGACAGTGAGGTGGATTGAGAACTGGCTGGATGGCCGAGCTCCGAGGGTTGTGGTCAGTGGTGCAGAGTCAAGTTGGAGGCCTGTAGCTAGTGGTGTCCCACAGGGGTCAGTCCTGGGTCCAGTCTTGTTCAATGTATTCATCAATGACCCGGAGGAAGGGACAGAGTGCACCCTCAGCAAGTTTGCTGATGATACAAAAGTGTGGAGGAGTGGCTGACCCACCAGAAGACTGTGCTGCCATTCAGAGGGACCTGGACAGGCTGGAGAGCTGGGCGGAGAGGAACCTCCTGAAGTTCAACATGGGCAAGTGCAAGGTCCTGCACCTAGGCAGGAATAATCCCATGCACCAGTACAGGCTGGGGACTGACCTGCTGGAAAGTAGCTCTGCAGAGAAGGACCTGGGAGTGCTGGTGGACAACAAGTCAAGCATGAGCCAGCAGTGTGCCCTTGTGGCCAAGAAGGCCAACAGTATCCTGGGGTGCATTAGGCAGACTGTTGCCAGCAGGTGGAGGGAGGTGATCCTGCCCCTCT